GCAGCATCTTTTTCACGGTCGTTCTGTGGAACGTCACCTTCTTTGGTTTTTTCAAGACCTGTTAATTGTAAAAAAAAAGTGATGATTAAAAGAAAGAAATGACACTCTTTAAAAAAGGAAGATTTCAACCTTAAAAGCGCCCCATTCATTTTTTGTTATAAGTTATAAGCCAAAAGTTTGGCTGGGCTTTTTTTGTTATGTTCTTTTTATATACAAGAGAACCCCACCATTACTGCTGCATATGAATAGAAATCAGATGACTTTGATGTATCGCAATGTTATAGATTTTAATTTTATTTACCCTTAACTCCTTCAAGTCATATCAAGTGTAGCCAACAACATGTTATAAAATTATACATAAACGTTTTAAAGAATGGAATCGATCAGCAGGTAAAAAAGATCTTGATTGTTAACAAATTCCCCTCATCAGTAAAACAAGATATGTATGGTGAACAGTGCGGAGAATGTGAAAGTAACATTAAGGTTAAAAAGGTTAACGACAATATTTCTGAATTTTTCGCTAAAAAAGAATGGTCCCAATTTAGATTTAAATTTATTCACATCATCGATCGGTCTAATATCAATAGACACATCGTTCCACAGAAAATGGGCAATGACTGAAAAAGCCCTTAACCCCGTATGTCTTATAGCTATAGGGTTTAATAACGAGACGCCATTCGTCTGAAGATGAGCGAAGGCACTTCGCAGGTTCATAAACAAAGAAGAAGGTCTACCAAATAACCAGGAGCTAAATTGTTGAGTATCTTGAAACATAAAAGATTAATCTTTGCTCCACAGTATGGTTGATAATTTCGTCTATACTCCACTGGTAGCAAATGCAGCTCCTTTAGAGTATCGCTATTATGATCAAACTTACGTAAGCAAGCAATCATACTCGCTGCAGCGTTTTGGACACTTTGCAGCTTCTTAATATCATACTTGGGAAGACCATATAAAAGCGAGTTACAGAAATCCAGCTTGGAATTTATGAATACGTGCACAAGAACTTCAGCCGTTGTAACATTGATATACTTACGAAGCTATATTTCTAAGGTGGTAGAATACCTCTTTAACTATATTGTTGATATGAAAAGACATAGTTATGGTGTTATCGAAAATGACGCCGATATGACGCGCCTTATTTGTACGCTTGATGATATCAGTTCCTGTTTTATAGAAGGAAGCCGCGGAGGAAGTCTGAACCTAGATTATGGAGAATGAGAAGTTCCGTTTTGTCATTATTTAGTTCCAGTTTGTTAGTAGTCATCCGGTTAGTGATATCGACAAGACAGCATTCAATCCGGGAAATTGTAGTGGTAAGATCAACGCTGTCATCACAACCGAAGGTGTGTACAGTTGAGTGTCATCAGCATATAGATGGAATTCCATATCATGCCATCGTATAAGGTCACCCAGTGGGGCCGTGTATAAGAGATATAGCAACGAACCCAACACGGACCCCTAGGGTACACCAAGTCTGAGCGGACAAACTGAAGAATAAATCAACAATCTGAACTGACTAGGAACGATCCGTAAGATAAGACTGAAGCCACGCAAGGGCTTTTCCTCTTGTACCAAACCTGAATCGAAGTCTTTGTAACAAGATCTTATGATCGAAGGTATCGAAGACTGCTGGTAGGGCCAGCAGCAAGAGAACGACGCATTGTTTATTATAGATTGATTTTAGTATATCATTTTGAACACGTAGAAGCGCTGTCTCACAACTGTGGTGTTTCTTAAAGGTAGTCTGGAGACTTTCATTGAGATTATTACCGCACAAACAATCCGTTAGACGCATGGCTGCAACTTTTTCAATAGCTTTAGACAAAAACTTCAGGTTAGATACTGGTCGAAAGTTAGAACAGGGTCTAATGATGGAATATTTACACGGGACTGCAGCCCATGTGGTGGCCCCCAAAAGCAAGTTCTATTAAGAACACTACAGTAATTTATGTAAGTAATTGAGAGAGCTACATGAATTTTTTGAGGCAGAAAATTTTTTGTTATGAATACTTAGTCTATTGAAACAGCTAATTGTTTCGTAATAAGAAAACTGACGGATTAAAAAACTATGCATGTGAAAAAATAGACCTCTTATTTCTTCGAACATTTTTGCAAATAAGGTGCCACAATAAAAGTGAAATGTCTTCCATTTGATAACGCCAGTTAGCAACTCTTGAATCGCAGTATTATCAGTCATCTTTACCTCCTTTCTGTGGAATAAGGCTAACATAGTGTAGCTCGTACACGTGACCCAGCACAAGCCGGTTGCAACTAGTAACATCATACTCTGGGCAGATCATTACGTCATGGCGATGCGGAAGGCTGCTGATCACGTGGATGCACGTTTGAAAACAGTTTGCCGCGCCATGTAGAATCACGTGATCACCCCATGAACCATCTGCCGTCATGCTTGTGAGATAGGCATCCCAAGATGGATATCCATCCACAAAATGAAACAGGTCTGTTCCATCTGGCTGTAAGAAAAGAAGAAAAATACTCTAGTTAATAGAGAAACAGGTAGAGTGCTTTTGTAGAAGGTATACATCCAGGCAGCCGCGCTGTCAGCTCTCCCTAAGGCAGACCCCGCTGGTATCGGCAATAAAAAATGATTTTCCCACGTTAGTAGTGTAGGAGGCACTCATTAGACCCCTTTTTTGAAGTGGAATAAATTAAAGTCGATGACGTCTTTATCTCCTTTGCGCGCCAAGAATCAGTGAACTGGAACCAGAACAATAAGGCTTCACACTCTACCGGATAACGTTTAGTGAAGACACGACATCTATCCGATATGTGACTCTCCACTTAAGAGATCAGCGAGGCACAGCTTCTCTCCATTTAACAGAAATCGGGCCGAAATCACCGTTCTTATGTGTGAACTGATTTTCGTGCCGGCGAAAAAGCTATACGGTACAATGTGAACACACCCTAAGTGGCCTGCAATGGACACTGAGGGCGTCATGGTTCAGTGATTTTAAGTCACAGGTGTCTTCATAACCAAATAAAGACATGAAACACAAAATGAATGATTTTCCAGTAATCGGAGACCCATGTTTTGCGCACAGGATCATAGGATCGCCAGGGGGCGAACATTGCGAGAAAATATATGGCGTGATTTTATGAGAAGGGGAGGTGACTAATGTTGGTGCGTTGAAATTTCAAGTTTCTGTGTGATTAGGGCGATAAATTCTATTGATAAACACTCCTTGCTTGAGGTTGAGAGAAAAATTTATGGTTACTGAATTCAGTTATCTATATGAAAGGTCTCGAAATACATAGTGCAAATTTTGGTATAAATGTAGGGGCTCATTTAAGCTTTTTAGTTGTAATTCCGTGTGGTGATATTTACATCGAGTGTAACTACGCTCGGCCGCGATCAGCGCTATGCGGCGCTGTGCGGTTGTGACAAGACAACAATCGAAGGTATGTGCGTGGCCATAAAAACAAAAAATCCTCCTCTACGTTGGTATAAACAAAGTAACATCTTCGAAATATTTCATGGAAAGTACATGGTATAAAAGCATTAGTAGATGAGGCAGAAATAGCAAGAGAGAGTGTCGCAAAACGAGTAAGATTTCCGATACAAAAGCGGTGAGAGTGTAACTGAAAAAAAAATTGATGTGCGAAATTCAGAGATTCCTTATCTTCCCACAAAATGATTGGAAAAGGTATTAGAACTCATTGTTGCTCTGGATCAAGACAAAACATTTTGCTAGCGTTTTTTTCGGCGAGAAGAAATAAACATACCAACTTGGGGAGACGGTTTTGTTTTTAAAGTTAGTACATTTCAAATTCTATGTGTACCTGATCGTTGTCACAAAACCGGCTCAGCGTTGTGATCGCCCCGAGCTCAGCGTAATTACACTCGTTGTAAATATCAGCACAAGTAACTACAACTGGAAAGGCTTAAATGAGTCCGCATTCCCCGCTCATTTATACCTAAGTTAGTACTATATATTTCGAGACCATTCAGTAAATTTCACAGTCGACCTTTTCGCAAGAAGGAGTGTTTACCGATAGAATTCATCGCATCGATCCCACAAGAACTTATAATTTCAACGCACAAACATTAGTCTTGTCCGCTTCTCATAAAATCACAGCAAAATGCGGCATTCTATGTCCAAAGACTTTGCTTTATTTAACGGAGAAACAATTCCACGCCATACATTTCTTTGCAGCGACTTGCAAGTCTCCGATTACTGGAAAATCATTCATTTAAAATGATCAACAAAATCATTCTCACAAATAAAGGACATGATCCCAACAAGTTACATCATCAATATAATAATCAATCAATATACTAAATACTACATAAAAATAGCTCGTGACGTTATCTTGATGAGATTCGACCGCATTTTATTGCTGAGATAAAGATGTCATCGACGTTAATTTATTCCACTTCACAGTAATAAGATTCCACTACAAAAAAGGTGTCTAACCTGTGTGACCTATACTACTCCCCTCAAAAATATATATATATATATATAAAAACAACAGTTAAGAACAGCAGGGACCAACACTTTTAGGGAGGTGGAGTAGGTTTAGTAGGTTTTAGGGAGGTGTCCGTTACACGTGTAAGAGAGATGAGGGAATGGATGTTTACTATTAATATAATGTGAGTTTGACATAAGTCGACGAATTTTCTTGGATTTCAGCCCTTAGTGACTGTGTCCAAGCCCAAAAACAATAATTGACCGTCGAGTGTTCGATGCCCTCCACAAAACGTCACATAAAGAAGTTTTGCGTCGTAGTCGTGCCGCAACATCTGAGCTCAACTCAGTTTCCCTACAGGACGGGGGGGGGAACTGTATAGACGCGCTCCTCAGTATGCAGCACACCGTCTATTGTTTCTAGATGACCCTAAGTGAACAGGGGCACTACACAGGGCAGTGTGAGTGGTCCGTACTTATTTAGTATTTTTATTAATGATCTGGAAATCAGCATAGATAATCATACTCTCATTGTTCCCATTTGGAGTAATGGTCACTGTCGTACGGATTTGGTGGATCAGTTTTTAATTTGGTCTAAGGAAAGAGTATAATTTGTAATCCGTCGAAATGTCAAGAAATTATTTTTCGCAAGAAAGGTTTTATTCAGGATATTGCGCAAGTTAATAACATTCCGCAATGCACGGAGCTGCCCATTTTAGGCGTTACGTTTCAGGAGAATTGTAAATATAGCGAACACGTACGTGCTAAGTTGATTAAGGCAAATAAGTGTCTGTTTGCATTAAGATCTCTACGAAAGCGAGCTTTCAGTCAAGGTGAAGTAGACCACCAATTTAGCGCCTCAGTTTTTTCCGAATTTCACTTATGGTCTGCCTGTTTATGGCGCTGTAGACTCAGATCTCACGGTCATACAAAACGTTTTGGATAGATGCTTTAAAAGGAAATACACATTTAAGAGAATGGACATTCGAGAACTTTTAGAAAAGACAGATAAGAAGCTTTTCAAGGTACGTTCAGCGGATCCCGATTGCCAGCTTAGTAACATTATTCCAAAGAAGAAAGAAACAAAGTATCAACTCAAAAACAAAACTGCTCATCGCCTGGATATAAAGACTGAAAGATTTACGAATGTTTTTGTAAATAGGCTTGTTTTTAGATATAATCTTTGATCTTTCTTTTATTTGTATACAGTATGTCTTATGTATTTTTATCTTTTCATTTGTATACAGTATGTCTTCTGTATTTTTAGACTCCCAACTGCTGATGTAACTGAAGATATGTCTTTTTATCTTAGGAGGAATAAAGATTGATTGATTGATTGATTGATTGAGTGGACGAAGAAGCAAAGCGTGATGCTCGTGCAGAGTTAGCTGTTGTTTTGCTCATAAAGGATGAATTCATTTGCAGCATACCCGTAAAGCCGTCACATTTAATCGCAGCAATTTAAGGGCCACGTCCACTCGTATCCAGATATATTTTTTTTAAATCGGAGATTTATTTGTCCGTTTTAGCCCTCTGCCCACACGTGATCGGCATTTCCTGGCACCAAAAACGCAGGTTTTAACAAACGACGTGCGGATGGACGAATACAGAGGATTTAGAATACAGCATTGCGCATGCTCTGTAAATGGATGCTATCGTATTTCAATCATTTTAGCGTTTTTATGTGGACTGGCGAAAAAGATTCAAATACTCTTCGTGTGGACCCGTATTTCGGATACGTGTGGACAGGGCCTTATTATTATTATTTTTTTTAACTTTGAGAGGAGTCAAAACAATGTAGCGAACAAATGCCACGGCTATGCGCGTATACTGCAGGTGTGTGCACCCTAATAAGGTAATAAGATACTTACCAGCCTGGGGTTTTCCCGAAGGTGTTGTACAACAGTTCGGCGTAACTCATCATGGGGCATTTGAATTCCTTTGATGACGTCAAGCTGCTCTGAAAGTGCAAAAAACATGCAGTTCCCCTCCCCTTGATTGTCAGAAATCGCAAAACCTTTCTCCAACGCAGTCGTCTTTAAAGCCTGCGACAGCACAGTTTTGCTGGACTCTGTGCGTGCTTCCAACAGGATTTGTTGAAGTGCAAGGAAAGTGGGTTCACCTGTGAGCGGAAGATGAAAAAGACAAAATAAGATACACGAAGAGGTTATTTCACGCCTGTTTAATAGGAGATAGTGATAATGATAATGATAGAGAATTTGTATAGTACTAGAACTATAAAATATTCAAAAGCGCTTAACATTAAGTTACAATCCAAAAAATTCCTGAAAAGCTAATAATAACAACAATAATAATAAAATTCCATGCTATGCAAAACTCTAAAAAATAAAAGTCTAAAATTCTATGCAATATTAAAATGAAAATATTCAAAGCATTAAACTTCAGAGTCATTCTAGTAAGTTAGTAACTTCACTCTACTGCGAAAATATATTTTGGCTTTGGTTTAATTGGCAAAGCAAACAATGACATCACCTGCTATCGGTCCTGTTGCAGCATCTTTCTCAAAGTCGTTCTTTAGAACGTCACCTTCTCGGTTTTTTTCAACACCTGCAAAAGTTTAAAATTAGCAGTAAATTTAAATGGTTTGGCCTGTAAGCGGGAGAGGGAAACATTATTTTACGTCAGTCTACTTGGAGATGCTACACTAAGCATTGAAAAGCTAAAAGCACCCGAAAAATGGAAAGTACCCTGGTTTAACAGAAGAAAATAACCTCAGTCTACTGGTTTAATTGACAAAACAAACAATGAAATTACCTGCTATCGCTCCTGTTGCAGCATCTTTTTCACAGTCGTTCTGTGGAACGTCATCTTCTCTGTTTTTTTCAAGACCTGTAAAGATTAAAAAATTGATGATTTACAGAAAACTATGTCACTCTTAAAAAAAAATGAACGATTCCAACCTTCATTTTTTGTGACAACCCACCATTGCTACTGGATATGAATAGAAATCAGATGACTTTGATGTATCGCAATCTTATGGATTTAAAATTTCAATTTATCGTTAACTCTTTCAATTGTAGTCCATATGTTATAAAATTATACATGAAAGTTTTAAAAAATGGAATTGATCAGCCGGTAAAAAAAGATCTTGATTGTTAAACAAATTCTCCTCATCAGTAACACGAGAAATGTATGAAGAACAGTGTGGAGAAAGTGAACGCTAACATTAAGGATAAAAGGTTAACAAAAATATTTCTGCAGGGATGCACATGGACCACGAAACATAATATAGTAAAAATGTATTTATGCAATCGCTGTTGCAGAAGCGATGGACATACAGAGATGAATTATAAAACCAAGTGGAGGATAATACTGAAAAGATACGCATTTGAAAATCATCAGGTACTAATTATTATTATTATCATTACTTTTCTATCGGTAAATTTGATTTCTTACCATAGACCATCTTCCACATCCTGTCAACAAGGGACTGGCACTGTTTCTCCCAAGAGAATCTTTCATCATAACTTCTTCGCAGTCTTTGGATTTCCTCAAGCCGTTGCGCCCGTGATTTTTGACGGATGGCTGCAATTGCCTTTGCCCATTCCTTGGGGTCATCAGAGTCGATCACAAATGATTCACCCATTGGAAGACCACGCAGTGCTTTTCCAAATCCAGAGTTTCCACTAACTAGAATGGGAAGACCAGCTGACATGGCCTCCAATGCTGTCAAACCAAACCCCTCAGTTCTTGATGGCATAATGGCCAGGTCGACTTCACAAAACAATTCTCTCAATCTTTGTTTGTCTTTAACAAATGATCTCACAATCAGCTGGTTCTTTGAAATGCCAGTCTGGAGTAAGATTTCTGCGACGTCATCCTGCCTTCCATCGGATGCACCAACGAAAACAAGACTATAGGAACTGTCCTTCAATTCAACTATGGATTGAGCGGCAATGTCGTATCCTTTAAGACTAAAGTCTTCCAAATCACCGCGACCAAAGGTCAATACTCTGAAATTTACACCATCTTCTGCACCATGTTCAATATCTGATAACTCTGCAAAGGAACCTGGTATTAATTGAAAGATATCTCGATGAGATGAACGCAACTTGCACGCGATCGCTTCTTTTAACTTTGGTCCAACGGCTACAACGAGATCTGCAATTTGACAAAGGTCAACTTCAGCTCTGTTCTTCTCTTCTCCCTTGGCAATGGCACTTGGATAGTTCTTATGCATTGCCAGCTCTTCAGGCTCAGTGTGAACAACCTGCACCCACTTACAGCAATGAGACTTTCTTATAATCTGTGCTTGTCTACCAAGCTTTGCTCCATGGCCGATCACAACCTGAATGTCAAGGTCGTCTGGGGGAACGATCAACCAGTCAAGAGGATCACTGTAGGCAGGAAGGCGCCCTGCTTCCTGGATGGAAATGTTGTGACTTTTGGCAGCTCTCTTATGCTCTTCGCCACACTCAAATTCAGGTACAAGAATGGTGACTTCTACGTGTGGGTCTTTTGCCAAATGTATGGCAAGAGTTCTGTTTATTGTTGACAAGCCACCCTTAGACGATCCCCACTCATTCGCGAGAAGGGTAACTTTCAGTACCAGACGCTCTGGACGAGCTTGTTTGGTATCAGGTGATGATGATGGAGTACACGCTTCCTGCATAGCAACCAAAATTGCATATTATAAAATACAAATTTTACGTCTGGGGGGTTCTACCTTTTTGAATGAAAGTTTGCAAGACATGTTAACACGTTAAATGCTATAAACTCATTGCTCAACAGCAAAGCAAAACAGCACATTAAAAAAGACTTGAGAAAAACTCATATGCCAACTGCTATGCCTATTAGACCAATAACAATTATTAATATATGGAAGTCAATTGACCTTATCACCCAACTTACTTGATTTGAAGTACTAATGTTTGCTAAGTTGATAGCAACAAAGCCTTCTCTTACACTCCAGTGGGGCTCGTGGTAGGATAAATAAAGGCATACGTTAAACCTCATACTATAGCCTTAACAAAGCACATCCATGGACTTTGTTGAAGCCTCTTTAGTTTAAATATATTGCTACAGTGGCTACTCTTTAGAAAGACACAATTTTAAGTAGCATGCGTATTCGATAGATATGTAATATGCTACCAGCACTACTGGAGATTGCATTTCACTACTACCTACCTTACTTTCTATTTGTGAGAACCACTTTTCTTGTCCAGTAACTGTGAGTACCTCCTCTGCAGGTTTCTTCTTGCAAATCAGAGGACCGCCTCGTCTTAACTCAAGGAGGTGAAGACAATCTCTATGAGAACATGCAATCTGATCATGGCTTGAGCATTTTTGCCGCTGACAATACGGACAGGCGACCCGAATATGATACTGCAATCCACCTTTATAGAGATCACGTGACAAAACTTGCAAAGTTGCCTCCACAAACTTACGAACCTGCACTGCCACCTCACTTGTGTCATCTACTGAGATCTGCTGAGGTTGGTTTCTTTGCTTGATAAAAAACTTAATAAACTGCTTCTCACAAATAAGAACAAAATCATGAAAAGTTTGCTTGCCAATAACAAACCACGCTCCATTTTGAAACAGGGTAGGGGGCTGAGTTGGACCAGCCTCAGAACACCAACGGACGGATCGAGAAACAAGCCGAGTGAACAGACCATGGGGAACAGAACCGCTGACAAAGTAAACATACAGGGCACAAGGGTCCAGCCTAGAGGGCGCCATGGAACAAAGGGAATCAGGCGAAGCTTTGAGTTGAGATGGAACAAAATACTTTTCACCTGCCTTTGAAGATGAAAATTTTGCAATTAATCCAAATTGTTCCATCAAATCAAGAATGTCTTTCCTGGCAACACCCTTCAGGAGAAAGCTGGAAAACACAAGATCAACCAGTTCCATGGGGAGAGCACCGCTTTCTTTAACTTCCTTCCAGTACTTGGCAACCTTAGGAACCTAAGAAGGAATAAGGTGACGGACAATAACAAAACTATTTTAAAATAGTGATATTTAGGGAGAATTTCAAGCCAGTTAATTAATGTACTTGTAAATTATTGGTAATTTCATTTAATATTTTAAGTAAACAAACAAAGAAAAAGATCTTGAGTTTCCCGTTTTTGTGTGGGGACGAATATAAAGAAAAAGGTTACGTAGTCTGCCTAGCAAGTACTACTGTGTGAATAAAAGTAAAGAGGATAGCCTTCTAAGCAGCCCTCTGTTTGGTTCGTCACAATTCTTTTTAATCCAGTTAAAAGATTTACGAAGTCAGGTTTTCTTTTCTTTACAACGTTCACCATAACCTCGCGCTGAGGGAAAACAATAGAAACGTGGTTGTCGTGGTGGAAGGAAACAATGTGAAATAATGAAATGTGGAAAAGGAAAAAGGGATGAAAATGGAAAAATGTTTTTTCGTGGTAGAAAGGGCTAGTTTGCTTTGCTCCTCATTAAATATTCACGACTTGCGCGCATTGTAAAGAGGAACAACTTGGAAACAAAGGTGGACGGAGGATTTTGTGATAGAGGGGGCCTAGAGATATAATATACAGTAGCAATATGGGCGCGATAGCGCCCATCAGGACTGCGAACGGCGCACTTTTCTAAGGAGATTCGGGGGCATGCTCCTCCGGGAAAACTTTTGAGATCGAAGTTCTCTGAGATGCAATCTAGTGCAATCTGGACGCTTAGATTTAGCAAATGCCTGGATTCCATAATGAACATGAAATGCTGAAATATTTAATAAACCACGGGTGTGGTTGTGGTTAAAGAGGTAATTAACACTGTATGAAATATGTAGGCTTCGAACACAGATTCCTTTCTTATTAACAATGTTTATAAAACAAAGTATATTTAAGTAACAAAGCTCGAAGTACTATCCGGCACACGTTGACAATATAAAAAAGAAAAAAATTCCCGAACAAAAAGGGGGAGCCTGGGCCCCCTGGGCCCACCCCTAAATCCGCCCTTGGGAACAACTTGTTGGATAATGAAAACAGTATGAAATGGAACTTGCATAACTACTTCACAGGCGAGTTAGCGCTTATTCCTTCGACAACCTGAATCAACCAATGAATACTTTTCCCAGTTCTTACACGTAGTCGTCAAACGTGATGAAAAAGCAAGACCTTCATATACTAAGAAATAATTGGAAAACCTGTCCAACTGGTTAAAAATAGCACACGACCTTATCTTAGGGCCCGTGTACATGGAGGTGGGGGACCCCAAGTAGGTGAGGTAACCCGTTTAGGTGAGGTAACTCGCCCGTCAACATAATATTTTAATTTGACCACCTTTACATGATAGTTGGGGTGATCCGCCACACCTGTTAAGTCACCCCAAAGGGGGGCCATTATGAACCATTGCAAGTTTAAAAGCACGTTGGAAACCGGACTATAATAAACCTTGCAAGTTTTAAAACACGTTTAAAATCCATTTCTTACCATTTTCGTAAAATCTGGAATGGTGATCAGCTGCCCGAACAAGTCTATCAGCCACCTGGCACTCAAGATGACTGTACTACGGTGCTTGATAATTATTCTCAGGTCATGATAGAAATTCACCATGGTGGTAAACTCTTCCTCATCATCGACGAAGCAATTCTCCTTAACATGGGTCCGTAGCTTCGTTATACTCAGGTAATAAACTGGTTTGGAAAGCAAAGCGTTGATAACATTCTCAAAGCTCAGCCACCTAGTTTATTAAACCAGAGAAAAAATTGATAACGCACGTTAAGTATCCATGTGGCGACACAGCATACCTGTACTGACTAAAGTACAGAGCCCAGTAGTGCGAAACATGGATAACTCTTTCCACTGGATAAATATCTATCCAAAATCCAGTGGATAGTGCCATCAAGGTTCCTGACATTTTTCCTCTTAAAAGTGATTCACTGTTTGAACAACTGGGGCTAACATAACGTAACATAATCTTTATTTAACGTGGGAGAAACACTTAGCTAAAGCTATTTTGCAGGTTTTCCACAAATCAATATTAAGAAAGAAAGAAAGAAAATATGTACATAGACGTGTAAAAATATAAAATATCTAGCATCTAAAATTACAAAATTAGATAACTAAAATTGAATGTTCCTCACTTGTTTGTTAAATTCTAGTCCTCCAGCTCTTAATCGCAATTCATTTGGAATACTGTTCCATTGTTTTGCGGCGAAATATCTGAAGGAGTTTAATCCATACTTTGTAGTATTTACTTTTGGCAGTGATAGCGTATTATTGCCCCTTAAATCGTACTTGTTGTCTCTCATTTTAACGAGTTCCTTAATGCAAGTGGGGGCGGTACCTTGAAAACAGGCGTTTATAGTTATTAACATGTCCTGGACACGACGGTTTTCCAGCGTGGTTCCTAAACCTATTCGCTGTAGCAGTTCATAATAAGCTGATGTTTTATCTTTGTAAACATATCTTAGTGCACGCTCATTTACTTTTTCTATTTTCTAGAAGCATTTTTTTATTTTCTAGAAGCATGTATACGTTACAAAACATGACCGCTGACATGTGAAAAGCCGTGTAGATTTTTTATTAGTTAGTATTTATGGTCTTTCTAAAGTTAAGATGAGATAAATATAAGCTTAAATAAGCTGAACTAAAACTGGCCATGTTCTAATTTGTGACCCTGTGCAGTTATGCAGCTTACTACAGATTGAACGGGTGCGTGATCCACTTTACTTTACCTTTTTAAAACAATGAAATGTACAAAGTTCTTTTCAGCCAATTCAAAATGACATTATAAAACCCTTCAGGGCAGAATATTCCTTAAGGCCAGTCAAAACTGCTTTTCATGGTGAACTTGTTTCAGTCAACGAGATATTCATTTCGTATGACCGCCAGGTGGCTCATACAAGAATCAATGAACTTTTTGCGTTCTCAATGTAATTTTTTTAATCAAAGTAAAGGACTACAATAAACCAGCATTCAGATGTTTTGCGTTTACGCTTTTACATAGCGTCACAGTCAACTGATGACACCTGAAACACATTACACTATAAAAAAAATCTTACAAGGATTGGCGAAAACAAACGCCATCCACATAAACAGTAATTTCAGTGTGTTCACAGCTCAACCCTTGACATATAAATTATTTAATATTTACTTTAATGGATTCTGAACATTCTGGTATAACCATTGCTTACCTTACAGGTATCCTCTCCCCAATGTAAGGCTCCTGTCTTAGCACTTCCATGATTTTGACTTGTAAAGCTTGGATGTCATCAATGTTTTCATCTTTCGCAGTAAAAACATTTCTGATCTTACTCTGTAGTAATTTCGCAGTGTTGTCAATGCTGAAGATAGGCCGCACCACATGTCCTTCATAGTCCTTACCAGCAATTGCGTTCTGGATTTCTGTTTTCATTGTTGCAATGTCTTCAAATGGTTTGTCTGCATGGGTTCCTACAATGATCACTGGGGGACGTAAATAATGAGGCACCTCTTCTTCTTCATCATCACAGGTTTCTCTTCTCATCTGCGCGACGCTATGCACTGTGGACAGCCAAGACAACAAATTCTCGAGATTTGTTTCTCCATTTGGGTTTTCCAAATCAACATTACAAGATCCTTGTCTTACACAGGGCTTGGCTGTGTCATGCAGTGACTTGCTGAGGTTGCACACCAAGATGTACAGCGCACGTGATGATAAAAATACAGGATGGGATGCATAATACAGGTGTTGTCCAGCAAAATCCCACAGTTCAATACTGATAACAGATTCTTCCTTAGCACCTTTACCTTTTATATACTCTACCAAATTTTCAGCTCGTTCCTTGACCTCCTCTGGAGGTGAAGTAGTATCAACCACTAACTCATGATCAGGTCCTGTTAATGTGAGTTCACTACCACTGTCTTCGTTTGGATCACCAACCTGTAGCAGGTTCGAGGAAAAAACAACAACAAAATAACTGTTGATTCTGAAAATGAAAGACTTAACATATCTGGTTCGATTTTGGGGGGTAAAGAGGAAAAATAGAGTAAGAATGACGAAACGTTTTTTTGGAATAATGGATTAGTGCCATTTTGTGGCGCGGAATAATGGAGTCAATGGATTTTTTCAACGGAATTACGAATAATGAGTTCTTTTTACTGGAATAATGAAAATTTTCGACCTGGAATAATGAACACCCAATTATTAATTTGTCATTGATGACAGAACATTCTTTAAAAGCTAAAAAAAAAAAGATATGAGGCACGATTATTGCCGTTTTTAAGGAACAGTGAATTTAAGAATATATAGAAAAACAGTGTTTGATTGAGTCCCCCAGCCCCTTGGCTTTACTCTCGCATAAAAAAGAAAAAGAAAACAACTTGATACCGAAATTGTGATTAACAACAAAATACGCGAAACCTATACTCAAGGCCTAAATGACACTTAAAAATATAAATAAAGATACGGCTATTAAGGTCATACTCACTTTAGTTTGCAGACGCGCACTAATGACCTAAAGGCTAAGCTTACGTGTAGATGGGTACAACCATGGAAATATAGCAAAATGGCTGATAGTAGTAGCATTCTACTCTCGGAACTAAACTTCCTAGAATAAAAAAAACCCTAAATTCTTAACCAGAAACCTGCCAGAAAACGATCTGGCAATTGGTACATATTTCTCATACGAACATTGTAGCAAAAGAATGGGAGACCGTGGTGCGTTTCTCACTAAAACCTAACTTATGAAGGCGATAATCAATTCATAATAACTACTGTTAAGATGTTCTTGTGTTAACAAAGGATTCACGAAAAAACGTCACATTTCACAACCAACAAAGACAAACCTCATTTACGAGAGAAACTTCTTCCTTTGCTCCATCAGTACCAACTTGTTTCCTATTCTTGTTATCATCATTTTCAAGTATTTCTTCACCTCTTTCCTCCTCCTGAACCCAGTCACGGTTAACTGAAATGTCAAACATCTTTTCCACCATCAGCTGTGCCACATCTCTCGAACATCCCAGCAATCCTTGTTTTCTCTCATCAATAGGTTTCCAATTCCTGACTTCACCAACGTTCAACTGAAATTTTGAAGGATCCACTTCAATTCCATCAGTACTTTTTTCTTTTGGATTAAATGGTAGACCAATGAGAGACTTCTTTAAACTTGTTTTTCCTGCCCGATCCTGCCCAATAAGCAGTACTCGACCACGGTAAACATTAACAGCTCCATCTTTCAGAGCACTTTGATAAGCGAGCTGTGCTTTTTCTCCGCGTGCTTCTATTTCTAAAGGAGCTAGTAAAAAAAAAGAATGCTCATTAAAGGTAAGTAATGGTTGTGTAGTTCATTGACTTCTAGTTCACTTGTTGTTGTGTTTTGAGTCACCAGAATTATAGGTGTTGTTTGCATTCATGTGATGAGAACCTGTCCCTCTAAAAGAAACAACTACATCAACGAACTAACTCCGTTTCAATAAGCGCTCAATCTCTAATAACCTTCCCTACTGCATAAGCACCCTTGTTCCAACCCGGAGAGTTACTTGGGTTTATTTTCGTTGGGTATGTGCCGCTCGCCTCTCAAAACCCCGACCGCGTTATAGTCTATACTGTGGCGATATCATACACCACATCTTAGTCACTTCTGGAAAAAAGTAATTTTCGCCATTCCAACTTAGTGACTTTCTGCTTATGCATCTACCTTCTAAAGCCTTTTAACTAGAACATCCTAAAATGATCTGCCACCTTTTTGTTAAATTTGGTGTGGTGTAAACCTTTCTATTTTTAAATCCTTACACACCTGAATTTTCTGATCCCCAAAATCCTGAAAATGTGCGACCCCATTCCAGTAACTCTTATAAAAATGTAATCCCATAATAGTCAATCCAGTCGTGAAAATGCTGCCCAATCCAGCAGCACATACCCATTAGCCTACTACTGGGAAGTACCCTCCACACGGACATTCCAAGCGCCCCAATACCGTGTCGTTATTCAATCACCGACTATTGTTCCATCCTATCGTGACAAGGTTTGACCGTAATTCACGCAACCTGAGTGAAGAGCCGCGAACGCTCACGATTGTTAAACTCAACAAAGGGCCTACAGCACCAAACATAGGACCAAAGCGTATGGTTTTGAATGCCCGGTGCCTGGCAAAACCTGATGCAGCTCCGACTCTTTATGCTGAGCTTAGTAACAATAACATTGATACCGCAATTCCTCGAATAATAGCCGGGAGCGATGACTATTTTTTCCCCACAAAAAGGGAGTCGATTATTTGAGGGGACGATTATTTAAAATATTGCTCACTGGAGGTCGTGCCCTAGATATTTTGTTTTATTATTCCATTAAACCGAAAATTGATAACATCAAATTAACAGAACAAAGGCTTTTTAAGTGTTCCAAATTTGGTTATTTGATAAATTTTCAATGCCAATATCATCGGCACCCGAGCTTGATCGTCACTAATCAGTTTTGCTGGGTTAGGCTCCACTGCAACTTGACAGGGAGGGGATAAAAGAAAGAGAAGATGGCGAGAGGGGTGGGGGTGGGGCGATTATTTTAAACATGTCGGGTTAAGGGGGCGATTATTCGAGGGAGGCGATTAATCGAGGGACGACTTTTATTCGACGACTGTTTTGTTTTGGAGTCATGGTTGAGTATGACAATCCTGTCACATCTGAATTGCCCAGAGGGCTATGTTATGGTGAGGAAGGATCGAGCTGGCTCGCGAATTGGTGGTGGTGTTGCTATGATTTGAAGGAATTGGAAAGGTAAAGCGTTGAATGTCACTGATAGCTTGGAATTTGAGTCCTTAGTTGGAGACCATGTCGCTTTGTATACAAGATGACCTCGTATAGCACACCAAAATTCGCCTTCATAAACAAGCTTCGAACTCCAGAACAAGGGATTGTCAGGATAAGCCATGATCGTCGACGTTTGCTAATTCTTGCTCATAAGGTGCCCTGCCCCTGTTTTATGTTTCGAGAGTTTTGCTTCGCAACATAAAAGAAATAGACGCCCTGTTTCGAATAAGCGCCCTCATTTGAGAAACCAAAAGTATATGAGCGCTTTGGGCGCTAAATCGAGTCATTACGCTAAATAATTTAATGGCATTATCTTTTGTTTAAATTATTCTGTAGCTTGTTTCCTCCTCTCTAAGCGTTATGCTTTTGAAGTGGTGCAAAGGTCTGGTTGCCTTAGTGATCCTGGAGGCTACGTGCTGGGCAGGTTTCAGGTGAAAGGCAAGACACCTGGCCGTCGATGTGGGGGGGGGGGGGGGGAGGGGGGTTAGGCAATTCACTTACACTATTGCCGCGCATGCTGACAGGGGAAAACAACAACAACTAACTTGCAAAACAAACCTAAGTGAACCTAAGTGTGACTTATAACTTTGTTAAATGGTATAAAAAATTTCAGACCAGTTATAGTTTAGATCACGAGAAGTGCTTTCTCAGGCTTAAACACAGCAAACCAAGCCACCTTTTCTAATTTGAAACGTGAACAACGAGCTTACTGAACAGCTCAAAACTCTTCATCCTTAACGGTCTGTTTATTGTTCTGTAACAATATTTTTTTTCTATTTAATACGTATAGTGTTCAACGGCCAAACTTCCATAATTATAACATTATAATATTACATCATCCATTAAGTGAAAAATGGCTTCAAGACTCTGCGGTTGTGTTTTCACTGAGATAATTTTAGCTAGATAAAGCCAGAAAAGTCCAGAAATACAGTTAAAACACCTCGTCTTGTGTTAGCGAGTTAAACATGCCCACTGTTTTTTTCGGGTTTATGACCGGAAAATTACGCAAAGTTAGACAACCTCGCGAGATGGTATAACTTGTCCTGATAAATACCGCAGCCAATCGCGTTGCACGTTGTGACAAACGCCTGCCAAATGACCGGCGAAATAAACATTTTACTAGAGGTTGTAGTGAAGGGCTTGAATCTTTTGTCCTCGATGAATAAATCGACAATTAATAGGTAAGACTTTTAATTTCTAATTCGTAGCCAGTAGTAGCGCAAACGTATCTGAAATCATTATTAAAGGATTACAATTGACAATCGATAAAATGGATGAAAATTGACAACAATTGATACTCACAACTCTTTCCATCTTCGATATTTATCGATTACCGATATGAATCGCTTAATTACTATCGTTTAAAATCGAATAGAATCCATCATTTCGATTAACGAGTTTCATCGATTTGACACGGCGTGTTAAACGCACCCTACTTACGGCAATTATTGCTGTTTTGCTGTTACATTTTGAAACAGGATTACAACATTACTTCCTATCCTCTTACTCTTTAGAGACACTATTCAACTGCATTCATAAAATAGCGAGAATCATTAAACGAAAACACATTCAAAGCGCTTCGTCTCCAAACATTTTTTAATGTGGCGCGCTTTTTAAATTTGAATCCTCTGAGTTCTTCCGAGCTAAATTTACATGTAAAAGTGAAAACAGCTAGTAATCGTCGGTATGTCAACAAACACCAAGGAAAAATTATCCGCTCAGCAATCGACCACAGTGAAAACATAGCCTCCCCCGCAGGCGTTTCTAGGGGAACTCGTATTTCTTCCCCCCCCCCCCCCCACAAGGAAATAATAGCCTGCGAACAGCAGATGTATTTCCGGTCGTCGCTTCTCTCCCTCCGAAAAATAAAGAAGCGACGACCAGAAATACGTCTGCTGTTTGCAGGTAACCCCCGCTGGCGTTTTTAGCGGAGCTCGTATTTTTTTAACCTGCGAACAGCAGACGTATTTCCGGTCGTCGCTTCTCTCCCTCCGAAAGTTCGTGAAAACATAGACTTTCAAAAAAGTCCTTCGTCGGATTTCATATGGCGCGGGATAAGATAAGATACTCAGCCTCATTCATTAACTGTTAATTAATACGTAAAAGAAACTTACCATTGATTTTGAAACTACAGTTCGTAGCATCTCTTGATTTATCAAACCCTCAAATTCGCGAAACCTCCGATAACTGAAAAAAAAACCCACTTCCCTTTCCCAGGCAAATAGTGGAATTTTATTTCGGTTTTTTTCGAACTTCCAAATAACTACAATATCCGCTGTGCTTACCTGCAAGATCATATACTCCTTTCTTCCCTAACTTCAAGGCGCGTCTTATTGCGTCAACAGTTAAAGGATTATGTCTCACATTCAGCTCCGACAGCTTCCTGAGGTCACCAATCTCAGCAGGTAGTTCAGTTAGTTTATTTCCATACAAGTACAGGACTTCAACCTTGGTCAGCCTCTGTATACTGGTAGGTAAACCAACCAACTGGTTGTAAGTCACAAACAGCTTCCTCAGCTCCCTGAGGTCACCGATCTCAGCAGGTAGTTCAGTTAGTTTATTTTCACTCAAGTACAGGAATTCAAGCTTGGTCAGCCTGTGTATACTGGTAGGTAAACCAACCAACTGGTTGTTACCCACCTGCAGCACCCTCAGCTCCCTGAGGTCACCGATCTCAGCAGGTAGTTCAGTTAGTTTATTTCCATCCAGATGCAGCCCTTCAAGCTTGGTCAGCCTGTGTATACTGGTAGGTAAACCAACCAACTGGTTGTTCCTCACCCACAGCCCCCTCAGCCCCCTGAGGTCACCAATCTCAGCAGGTAGTTCAGTTAGTTTATTTTCACTCAAGTACAGGAATTCAAGCTTGGTCAGCCTGTGTATACTGGTAGGTAAACCAACCAACTGGTTGTTACCCACCTGCAGCACCCTCAGCTCCCTGAGGTCACCGATCTCAGCAGGTAGTTCAGTGATTTTGTTGTAATCCAGTTTGAGCACAATAAGATTTTTCAGCTTGCTGATACTTGCTGGTAATTCAATCAAGTTATTACATTCCAGCAAAAGTTTCTCTACTTCACTCCTTTCAGTGACTGCATCAGGTACCCTGGATAGTCCTTTCCCTTTTAGATCCAAAACTGCTAATCCATCTTCATATTTTAAGTAAGCTCTCAATTTTGTATTGGAATAATGCTCCA